TTGGCATTGCACTCTACTTTGCTATTTCACTCTAGCTGTGTAAACACGTTCAGATGATTTTACTCGATTATAAAGGGAAGAGTTGGCACACGTTTGAAATCACTACTAATTCCCAATGAAAGGCCTTTGCTCGAAACATTGAATTTTGCTTTGTATTTTTCAGGTATTTGTATCCCTATCAACGAAAGCTTGTTATTATTGGCACTACCTACACTGGCATGGACCATTCAAGATTATATCTGCCAATGTCAGTGGCGTAATTTTGTGCTAATGGCCCCCAGCTTAAATAGGGCCCACAGTCCTGCCCATTTGAAGAGGCAATGAGCATGGGGGTTATCCATCAACTTAATCTTTATGTGGCATTGCATCAGTTCCCAATGTGCCCTACTTTGTTATTTTACGGTTATAAATGCCAGATGATTTCAATAATCAAGGGGAATTAAGTACTGGCACTCAATGGACTAGTATATGCAAGTTTGAGAATTACCTTACTTCAAGCCCTGCAATTGCAAGGTAAATATTGGGAGCTAAATAACATTTCACTTAAAAAAATATTAAGTTAATATAGAACCATCAATGGAGAAACATTTTGAAAATTTTTACACAATGGTATATTAATTTTACATTAATGGGTCATTCCAGAAAACATCCATACCACCCCCACGGAGGAAATTGGAAGTTAACCCCCCTACCCCCTTCAGATGTCCTAATACATTTACTATTATCAGAAATAGTAAATTTCGGACGGCAGAAATTTCCTCCGTGGGGGAGTGTGGATCTTTTCTGGAACGACCCATTGAGAGTAATTTCATGAGTGCATGGCATTACTTTGTTTCATTCATTCTAGACTGGAGTCTATAATTAATAGAGGAAGGTAATCTGTAGCCTGCAAACTAGGCTCTGGTGGGCTCAAATGGTCTGTGCCGGTAGCAACAAAAACAAGACAGGTGAGGATACTACTTGAAGTTGTATCTCTCTCAATCTGCAGCTCTGTCTAATTAGGGGGTAAAAAAAGGCTGACTGCAAAAAGAGGAAGTATGATATATATTAGAATGTTAGGGTTTGTAATCCAAGTGATATATAGAGAATAATACATGGGTGCTTGGAAATACCAGATTTATTTCTCGTGTTGAACATGATATCTCACTCGTTCGCTGCACTCACTTGTGAGAAATCATGTTCAACACTCGAAATAAATCTGGTATTTCCGCACACCCGTGTATTATTCTCTATATATTCTCACTTGGATTACAAACCCTAACATTCTAATATTAATTCCACCAAGTGAAGTGCAAGAATCAAAATCATTGAAGTCCACCTTTAATATATCACAACCCGCACACCCGATTACCTATATATACATGAACTTATGGTTACAGCTCAACAGCTGGCCTCTGTAGCTCAGTTGGTTAGAGCGCTGCACTGGAATCGCAGGGCCGTAGGTTCAATTCCTACCAGAGGACCTTGTGCTGCATTTTTTGCAGTCGTTCCTGGTTAGGTCTTAAAATGTATATATTCTCACTTGGATTACAAACACTAACATTCCAGACCTCTCAACTCTCACGCATTCGGCGTGAGTCTCATGCAATTCGCTTCACTCTCACGCTCTCACGACACGTTTAGTAAATCTCACGCATATAGCAGTTTCATAGTATTTTTTCAATAATATAATATTGTATTCTTAAATGCACATTATTAATCATTATACGTATCGCGAATCGAATATATAATCCCGTGTTATTGTCCCTGCATTACTACATATACGGCCCGACATTTTGCCCCTAACCCTAACCCTATGTAAATACGGCGGACAAAAGGCAGAATCAGTCGGAGCAGAATTCTATATGTAAATTATCAAAGGCAAATTAAAGCTCATTACTGTATGTTGCAGAAATACAGTTATTGTAACTACAGTGCCTTGTCTTAAAGGACGTTATGAAGCAATGTATTTCTGATTAAAAAACACCATGGCCAACTCTCATAATGTACGAAATGCCATTTCAGACCCCAGGACTTTTACAAAGGTGTCATCCACATCCCCAATCTCACTCTTAACTTCTCTGCAAAGTTGAGAGGTCTGACATTCTAATATTAATTCCACCAAGTGAAGTGCAAGAATCAAAATCAAGTATGGTATATACAAGTTGTTAGTGTGTAATTTCAACACCTTTCCCTTAGTGCTAATATCTCCACATGTATGTACGTTAAATATCATACAGTGATAATAAAGTATATTAATTCATTAATACCAGCTACTGAGTGGATTTTGCAAGGCACAATGTAATAAAATGCCATTTAATAATTTAAAATCCAGCAATATGCGGAATTGACTTTAATTTTTGCCCAGCGCCTGAATGCAGGAATTAAACGGGGTTTTACTCTGAAAATATAGATACAATATGCCAATTAATTTATATAACTACATGCTGTTCACAAAAGGGGTCCTATAAACATCATTTCAGTACTTCTAAAGCCCGTATGTACTACAATAAATCAATATATCCATGACATAAACGTGGACACTCAAAGCCTATAAGATCGTAAAAACGTGACCCCACAAACAATAATACTCAAAAGGATATAAAAGGACGAACTCTGACAGCGACTTTCACACTTTCTTCTGTCATCTTTGATATATAAAATTATCTAGACTTTTAATATAATGTACTTTCCTTGGCAAAATCCAGGTATGTCTTCTTATAGTTCATGTACAAATGATGCACGACTCAAATTAAGTCGATCACTAAATTCACTGATATTACTGAATTTTGCCCATCATTTAATCATTTTGGGATTTGTAGTTCGTATTTCGCCGTCTTATCACAGTTCGTATCATATGTCACTAATGGCGTTTCGTTGCTACGTTTACCGGTAACCGTAACAACAAGCTGCTGTTTACATCACATTAGATTCACAATTATACATGCAGCGAATGGAACGAAGAGCTTTAGTTGATAATTATTCCACAGCCTGATAAATTAACTTGCAAAGCAATTGTCAATTATAATTTTGCATACCCCCAATCTTAAGAAATTCTACAAAGTGCAACGAGTAATCCAGCTTATTCTTTAACGAAACATTTTACAAAATTAAACTGATCGTCGGTGATGAAAGGCAATATTGATCTAGCATATTGATCATACAATTAGACTATTGTTATTATATAAACGCCTATGGCTTGAATTAAACGCCTTCAAGCGCCCAGCAGCTGCAATAACGGCACTCCAAAAATTTGAATTATACATGAATATATTTTCTTCCTAGCCTTGGACACCAAAAACAAACAAGAAATTGCCGCGCGATTTTTGGCGGGAAACTAAATTTGTTTCTATTTCGCAAAATGTTATTCTAATTTTGCCATCGGCTATAGCCCGCGTGCAGGCCCAAGGGAGCAGGCTACATCGGCTATTTCGGCAGGCATTAATTCAACATACGAGGAGCCCCCACTTTTACTTCTGCTAAGGGGCTATAGCCCCCCCCCTCCCCCCGTTCAGCCGCCACTGCGTGGATTTGTCAGGAGCAGTGGTGTCAAGTAAGGGACGGACCATTTGATTTTTCATGGGGGGGGGGCGCATTTTTGAGAGTGCTCGATTTTTTTTGGACCTCACCGACTCCGCACGATTTTTTTTTATCGAATCTTGCCGCGTGCACGATATTTTTTTAAATTTTTACTATAGCGTTAATACAATAATAACCACGTATGGTTATATTCCGGTTGAAGAATGTATTTGAATATACAACATATAACCACAAAATAGGAAAGTATAGCAGAAGTGTAACCCACAAAAATTTCGCTCACGCCATCCTGGCTAGTACAGCCGGAAGTTTTTATCAGGTTTTGATAGGTACAAAGTGCCGGTTGTACTAGCCAGGATGGCGTGATTGATGATCGGACGAATCGCTTGTAAAAACGCGGACAAATACTTGCTTGAGTGAGACTTCTGGTATACCTTCCTATTCTATGATATAACTATCACAGCCCATTTTATACTTGGCCAATTTTATACTTGGCCCATTTTATACGGGGCTATGGTCTACGAAATGTAGACCATAGTCCCAATCAAAATTGGATTAAAGTGTGTACATAGGCGTACCGGGCGGGGGGGCGGTAGCCCCCCCCCCAGTTTTTTGGGCAGTCGGGCAATATTCGAGCAACAGTCGGGCAATTTGGGATAGGAATAAAAAAAATGGGACAAATTCTGTCAATTTCGTATAAAATTAAGTTAATTTTATGGCGAATTTTGTGATTTTTCGAAAATTTGTGTTATGTTCGGAAAAATATTGGTTGTCCGGAAAATTTTTTTGACCCCTAAAATGGTACACTGACCGAAATTTTTTTGGCGACGGGGGGGGGGAGGTCGCCAAAATAATTTTTCCGGAAAAAATTTTTTGGCACTGGTCGGGCACAATCCCGAAAAGTCGGGCAATTTTCTTTCCGCCCCCCTAATTTTTTCCTTCCGGTACGCCCATGAGTGTGTAACCCATTTTGCATTGGCGTAATGGCATCTATATACAAATTCTCACGGTTCCCAATCGTATCAGTGTTCCCAATACGTATTATAAACTGCGATTTTTATTCAGAATCAGAGAGCGATATTAATGAGCCGGGTGGGAAAGGGTATTTTTGTGATCCGTGAATGCAGTGGCGTAGTCAGACAATAATTTTTGGGAGGGCATATATCGAACGCCGAAAGCGTTAGCCTTTTTAGGGGGGTCCGGGGGCGTTCTCCTCCGGGAAAATTTTGAAATCTGGAGTCCCTCAATGGCGATTTCCCGTGTTTCTGGGGAGAGATTTTGAGTAATTCTGAATATTATTTACTGCAGGAAAGACCTGATTTTTAATGATTTGTCAATAATGTGGATCCTTAATTTGACTCAACGAAGCTTACTTGGTCGCGTGTAAATAGTTAAATCGAAGTTTTAAAACGCATTTTAACCAATGCTGCAAGTCAACAAGACGTGTCTAATTTCGCTCCGTTATAATCGATCTAAATCTTGAAATGAATGTGAAGGAAACAAGAATAAGTCTTCTACATGGTGTATCTTTTAATGCCAAAGGAAAATTAGTATGGCTTGGAACGTTTCAGCATTTGCAACAGTTTGTTGAAGATGTACTGAATTTGTCAAACGGTGTTTGGGATGGCCCTGGCGGCCATGATAAACGATTCAAAAGTGAAAAGATTGATCTAAGATGGTATCCAGACACGAAATCGATCACACTAAGTGGAACGCTTAAAGAAGAGATTAAAGCTAAATTAGAATCATTGGCATCGGTCTCAAAAAGTTTGGCAAATGCTGAAGATCATAATAAGATTGCTGACGACCATAACGAAAAAGAAGTGCATACTAATGATGAATATAAGCCTACTGACAAAGACCACGACCTGTCCCTGGAGGCTTTTAAAAATCAACTTCAAGTTCTTAGCAAACAGGTCAATGAAAATGAATCTGCCCTCAAAATTATCCTAAACGAGCGTGCTGAGAAACAAAATTGGGCTGATGATCAGAAATTGGTTAGTGAATTAGCAGGCCTAAGAGAGGAAAATAACACACTAAAAAATGAGAACTTACGCCTAAAGAATGAAAACAATGATCTAAATGAAAGAATAAATAGGGAAAAGGGAAAGACCAAAACAGCCGAGGAAGAGAGAGACAGCATGATCACTGCTATGCGCCTATTAGTAGTTGCAGAGTCAAATACAGTGATCGATAAGAGCCAATTACCGAAGCATAACCCCGAAACCGAACAAAGCGGGCCCAATGGAGCGGATGAATGCACAACACGGGCACAGATGAAAGATGCCCTAAAACCAAGCATTCAAATAAGCAACAATAGACCTACTACATCAAACACTGACATAGGAAATAACGAAGCCGAAGAACCTGAGATAGACAGTCAGTGATGATCAAGTTAAACATTCAACCCATATCCCAACTCATAATCGTTATACGCCACTTAGCGTAGAAAAAGAAACTACCCAAAGAGAAACAGTGTATAAACACTCTGAAAGCAAATCGAATATCGTTCTCATCGGCGACTCTATGGTCAAAAATATAAACCCTCGGAAATTGTCAAGAAAACGAGTTAACAAATTTATATATCCAGGCAAAACAACTGAGGAAATTGCTTCTGAAATCCAAAATATAAGCGTACAATCACCTACGAGTACAACTCATGTTATTATTCACGCAGGAACAAACAATCTCCCGATGGACTCGAGCAGCAAATGTGTAAAGAGTGTCAAAGGCTTATGCGCTCGAGTTAAAGAACGATTTCCTGATGCTAAGCTAGGGCTCTCAAGTATAATTCAAAGAAAAGACATTGACGTATCAGGAAAAATTGATGAGGTAAATACTCAACTAGAACACCTATGTAATGAACTAGGTTATACTTTTATTGAAAATTCAATCATAGATGAATCTAGTTTAAATGGCAGTAAACTGCACTTAAATACAAAAGGGTCTGCTCTCTTAGCAACGCGTTTTATTAAGTTCCTGAACCCAAATAAGCAAGTACACAATCAGGCAACTGCTGCTGGTACTCATAGCCCATCGGAAAATTTTCTGAGGGATTTGTTGAACTTGGTAGCTCTAACACAGACTCCAATGCCACTACGAAGACGAACTCGTTAAACTGTTATTCCACTAGTACTAGTAATAATACTAATAATGATAACCCTACATCTGTGAATCCTCTTAACGAAATTGCTAACTCCAAAGGTTTTCGAATTGCTAGTCTCAATATAAATAGCCTCTTGAAACATATCGATGAGCTTCGAATAATGTCGGAAAAAAATCCTTTAGATGTTTTAGCGATTAATGAATCTAAAATTGATGAATCCGTTTATGATAATGAAATTAAAATACCAGGATACGTTACGTGCAGAAGGGATCGCAACAGACACGGTGGGGGTGTTTTGTTGTATATCAGAAACTGCTTTTCATTTCGAACGCGCAATGAACTAATTCCTAAACATCTTGAGATGGTGTGCATTGAAGTACATAGACAATATGGTAAATCCTTTTTAGTTTGCGCTTGGTATAGACCACCGAATTCAAATGTGAATTTATTCGACAGCTTTGAAAATTTCATTAAACAATGTGATGTAGAAAATAAAGACTTAATTCTTCTAGGTGATCTAAACTGTGACTGGAATAAATCTCCGGTGGACAATCATACACAAAAATTAAAAAGTATTTGTTCGCTCTACCAACTTAAGCAAATTATTGATGTGCCTACAAGGATCACTAAATCATCTGCAACTCAAATTGATCTAATTCTAGTGAATAATTCTGATAGTGTTTATAGTCACGGAGTACTTGAAATTGGAATATCGGATCATAATTTAATTTATGTAGTTAAAAAAATGGCTCATCATAAGGGTCAACGGATTTCCAAGGAAGTTCGAAATTTTAAGCATTTTAATGAAAGATTATTTTTGGAAGACCTATCAAGCATTCCGTGGGAATATGCAAATAATTTTAATGATCCAAATGATAGCTGGTTTGTTTGGAAATCCTTATTTCTTGAGGTACTTGATAGACACGCGCCAATTTTAAGGAAATATATTAGAACTAAGAGAATCCCATGGATAACTGCCTCCATTAAACAGTTAATGCAGGGAAGAGATTTTAATAAAGCAATGTTCAACAAATTTAATTCGGAATTACATTGGGAAAAGTTTAAAACAATTAGAAATAAAATTAATGCTGAAATTAAAAACTTAAGGCTAACTTTTATAATACAAAAATTTCTGAGTGTTTACTGAATAAGAACATTAAAAAGAGCTAGTGGTCACTTATCAATAACTTGTTAGGAAAAGATTCAAAATCTACTATCATTAATGAAATAAGGAGTGATAATAATGTCTTCACCGACAAAGTTTCAATTGCAAACCAATTAAATGATTATTTCGTTAGCATCGGTCCTTCCCTAGCTATTGAGATAGAAAAAAATGAACGTATCTTTCAGAGATCGGAAAATAGAGACTCTAATGGTTGGCTTGATACAACTTTTCGTTTTTCTGTTATAAGTGATGAGCAAGTTCTTAACAATTTAAAACAATTGGTAGTATCGAAATCGACTGGAATTGACAAAATTCCAGCTAGGGTTCTCAAAATCTCAGCTGATATAATTGCCTCATCTCTAACAAAAATTTTTAATCTTTCATTACGTACTGGCATATTTGTTACTGATTGGAAATTAGCACGTGTACAGCCAATGTATAAATCTGATGACAGAAGTAAATGTGAGAACTATCGTCCAATTTCTATTCTTCCTGTTGTTAGTAAAATTTTCGAGAAGGAAATTTTTAAGCAACTTTATGACTATTTATCTGAAAATTCACTTCTTTCAAAATTTCAATCTGGAT